ATTTTTGTCGGGGGCACTACATTTCATGTCTGCTAGTTCTGATAGACAGCCAGACAGACTATCCAAGTGGATAGAGCCAAATAGGCCTTGGTTAGTATTGCCTGCTTGCAAATAGGCCTTATCGGCCTAAGTTGAGGGTTACTCCTCCAAGGTTCATGTTTATAGAGTGGTACGCTCGGGCAAAGTATGGCATCGGATGTCGGTCATACCTTCCCAGGTTTGGGGCGTGACAATATACAAATGCACTAAATCCGCATATAAAGGAGATATGCACCAAGTAACTTTAACTTGAATACCTCTACATGAATATAGAACGTCTATACATGATAAAGACCCAATCTAACATCAATTCTCAAAGAGCATTTATACAAATACTCCTACATGGGTTTAAAATGTCAATGCATGATGTAGACTCAATTTAACGCAATATGATACCCTCCAAGTATCCAACAATTCACTAACAAGTCTCATGCATATCTAAAAATGTATGAACGTGCATATGTCGATGATATAAAAGGATATTTCTACATGAGTCTAGAATTTCAATGCATGATCAAAACTTAACTATAACTAATACCCATCACATCTCATGTGCTCCAATATGATCCATCACATTCCATATGCTCCAACACGATATACGTATCACCTGCGCTCACATGGTCTAATATAATATGGGTAATCACCTGACGCCGGAGGGACATATCCATATCCAAGCACCACACAAAGATCAATGGTGCCATAATATATCAATATCATAATACCCGCATGGCATAAGCCATCGTGCCATAACAATATTAATATTACAATAACCATACAACATAAACTATTGTGTCATAATAACATCAAACACGTAGACAACTCATGTGGCATAATCATATCAATTGCACAGACAACCCATGTGCCATTACCTCAATCCATATAAGAGAATCATTTGCAGTGATAAATGAATTTGAATAAGATATAAGCATGTATGATACATATGGACAAAGAAATAACTATGCAGGGATATATGCATTTCTACAAGAGATGATATCTATGCATGATGTATGCATGTTTGTAACGCGTGAAAATATCTCCAGCATGTAATCCATCATATGAATAGCCACCATGTTCAAATAAATCATCAAAAGCCTATACATGATCTCTGGCATAAATAAGATAAATCAAGTAGTCATACAAATAATTAAAGCATATCACAAGTAGAGCATGTACCAAAATAAAATATAGCAAAGTCTACAATATACTCCGAGCATAAAATAACTTTGTTTCTCGAATATACGCTCGTCACCTTGCATATAAGTTACCCCCAAACACATAGCATGTAGATAGTAAGTCCATTTTAAAGATATTCCCTCAAGTCAAGGTTAAGAAAAATACTTACCCTCTTCCGGTTAGTCTTCAACCCCAAATCACGTCCTTTCCTTGGTTATTGACCTCCAATTCCCCAAAACCTAGCTAAATATCATTCATGAAAGTCAAAGAATGCAAAAGGAAGCAATCCCAATTAATAAAGTTTCGATCTTTGACGTAATTCTAAAAAGTTAACCCGAGCACACATGGTCAATACCCAAATCCAAGGTCAAACATGATCGACCCATAACCATACAAGTCCAAATATGTTACTAGTTTTCACATCTGAGTCCAAATAGACATCAAAAAATCTCAAAATACACTATCTTAAGTTTCAAGTCAAAAACTCATCTTTACACTTTAAGTCCTTAATTTATGTGTCATGATCCATGGAATCATGCTATATAATCAAAATCATATTATAAACATTTGCCCTAAAAAATTGGATGAAATCCCTCTTCAAAATTATGTTCTCTTGTTCTCCAAAACTCAAAAAAACAGTGACAATGAGCAAAGATCGAAATTCAGAACACAAAATACCCCTGACATCAATTAATCCTTCGCGATCATGATGCACAAAATTCCCAACTCTCTTTCTTCTTCGCGATCGCCGCCACTACCTTCGTGATTTCAATGCACTATTAGGCATCTTCAAAATTTACAGTGAGAACCCAAATCCCACCATAGGGATGTGGTGGCACCAAATCTCTAAGGCTAGGTAAGTCAATCACTTAACAAAATTAAATCAACAAAATATGATATAATAAGATAGAGTTTATGTAAACAAATGGAAATAGAGTTAACACAAGCCAAAATGGCAATACTCAATACTTTGCCCCATAACTAGGTAGTATAGAGTCAAGTGCTTTAACTGAATACATAAAGATGTATCAAATATAATATTGTTCGAATATGAAAAAATAACACTTTCAATGTAAGGATGGTACTTCAAGGGATTGCGACGGTCATGCAACTCTACGTCAAATCCTTGTGTTCAATGAATGCTCTCACTCCCTAGGTCCACTACCTCCAACATCTGAATCTGCCACATTCGGTACCTAGTAAATACCAAGACTAACTTCGATGAAGCAGTGACAAGGTTTAAGTCATATAATATTCACTATTCAAATAACTTGTGCAATATATCAGTAACTGGAAACAGAATATATAATGGAAAACAAAATCAAAAATCTCTTCAGAACAGGTGATAACAACTCAACGCACATAAAGGTTCGATTTTGACAACAAGTCATCAAATAGAAGATGGGGCATATGATAGCATGTCAAATTCAACTAACAACTCAATTAAAGTACATGACGAAGTTTAACAAGTTATTCATATGATCAATATCAACCTCGTTTTGACACATAAACAACATTAAGAGAAACACCAACAAATCATCACATCATCATCAACAATGCCACTCTTATTTCGCCGCATATGCAAATAACAATAAATGTTGTCTTTATTTCACCACATATGCATATCACTACCCTTATTTTGTCACATGGGCAACCCAAGAAAATGCCACCCTTATTTCGCCTCATGCTCACAATAATAATCATAATCGCACGGCAAAACCTCGTGCCAACACCTAATCAATCTTCCCAACATGTCCATATGTGCCACAATTATAACAAAATAATAATGCCAAATTTTCATCAAAGATATAAGCTCATAATTTATCAACAAGGTGGACAAGTACATGAAAATAGTAAAATGCGGATGGTTGTTTGACATATAAATCATTACCACGGCTAAATAAATTGTAGTAATCATGTTCATGCAGCCACAGAGTAATTAAGAAGGTTTCATAAAAAACACATCCTCAAATTAAGGCATATTAATAGCCTAAAATCTAATCCGATCATAAGCCACACATATCACTCGTGTACATGCTCATCACCTCGTGTACACATTGCTTTTTACATAATACGAATCAATAATAAAGACCAAATCCTACGGGGTATTTTTCCCACACAAGGGTAGGTAAAATAATTACTTCAACAAGGCAAATTAATAGTGTAAAATCCCTTGCCTCTCGAATCGGCCTCTAAACGGGTCAAATCTAGTTAAAAAGAACTCAATAACATTAAACAAATCTATAGGAATTGATAACTAAGTAATAAAGCACCAATCTTTATCAATTAACAAAAATTCAACCCAGGCCCGCTTCCCGAAACCCGATAAAAGTTTTAATTCACGACTACGCATTCGAATACGAGTTCAAATATACAAGTTTCATCCAAAATTGACTCCAAATCGGGCTTAAAATCTCCTTTTTCACTTTATATATCTTATGTCTAAACCTCCAATATACCTCTCTTAGATTCACCAATAAAAGTCAAAAATCAAGGATAGAATCATGAAATAATATTAAATCCGAGTCAATAACACTTGCCCCAATCGAAGTGGTGAAAATCGCCTAAAACATTTCCCCAATCCGATCTCCCAATCTCAAAATATGATAAAATAAAGCTAACCCTCGAAAAAATATATTATATCCACGCTTCTGCGACCAAACCGCCACTTCTACGGCGTCTCTTTTGCAACCTAATAATCTCTTCTACGAGTTTCACTTAAGCCTTAGCCCATTCGCTTGTGTGAACATAAATCCGCTTATGCGAAACCGCTTCTGCCCTCCAAGTAGCACATCTATGTGTGCGCACTAGCACATGATTCGCCGCATCTGTAGAAATCCCTGATCCCGATAAACTTCGGATCTGAGGTACGCTTCTGCGGGCTTGCACTTACGAACCAAATCTCACAAGTGAGAAAACACCAGACCTGATCAACCAATTCCACCTCAAATGATCTGAAGCCCGTCCGAAACCCACGAGAGGCTCCCGGAACCCTGTCCAACCACACCAATCAGTCCCAAAATATAACATGGACCTACTCGAGGTGTCAACTCACATAAAATAACATCCAAATCACAAATCACACCTCAATTCTATCTTAATGAACTAACCAACTTTCAAGTTTCAAAACTCACATTTAACCACATCTAATCAACTCTGAATAACCCCCAAATTTTGCACACAAGTCACAAATGACATAACAGACAATTTCAAAGCCTCAGAACCACAATCCTACCCCTATAACATTTAAGTCAACTACCGATCAAACCAGTGAACTTTCAAAACCTTTAAATTTTTAACTTTTACCAAAAAGAGCCAAATCAACCAAGGAACCTCCCAATCTAAATTCGTACATATGCATATGTCGAAAATCACCATAAGAGCCTATTGGAAGCATTAAAACACCATTTAGGGGTCCCTTACACAAAATGCAAACCTCGGTCAACTCTTATAACTTAAGCTACCACCATTGGAACTAAGTATTCTAATTCGTTCCAAAACTTCTCTAAACCCAATCATTCCCGCAAGTCAAAAAATAGCAAAAAAGTATACAGGAAGTATCAAATAGGGGAATGGGGCTTAAATACACAAAACAACCAGCCGGACCGTTACATTCTCCCCTTCTTGAACAAATATTCCTCATCGAACGAGTTTAGAATCATACCTAGGATATCAAAAAGATGAGGATATATGCTCTGCATATCATGCTCGGTCTCCCAAGTTGCCTCCTTGACTGGTTGACCACTCCATTGAACCTTTATCGATGCAATATGCTTCAACCTCAACTTTCAAATCTTCCTATCCAAAATAGCCTCTGGATCCTTATCATAACTCAAATCATTGTCCAACTGCATCAAGCTAAAATCCAAAACATGTGACGGGTCCTCATAGTACTTTCGAAGTATGAAAACATGAATCACCATATGAATTCTCGATAAGTTAGGTGGAAAAGCAAGTCTGTAGGCCACCTTACCAACTCTCTCCAACACTTCGAATGGACTAATATACTGAGGTATCAACTTGCCATTCTTTTCAAATCTCATCACACCTTTCATGGCCGAAACCCTTAGTAGAACCTTCTCACCTACCATGAATGCCCCATCACGAGCCTTCTTATCAGCATAACTCTCTTTCCCAGACTGCGTTATACGAAGCCACTCCTGAATCAATTTCACCATCTCCAAAGCATCACAAACCAAATTTATGCCTAGTATCCTAGCCTCACCAGGCTCAAACCAATCCACTAGAGAATGGCATCGCGTCCCATATAATGCCTCATACGAATCCATCTAGATGCTCGATGGGTAGCTGTTGTTTTAGGTAAACTCCACTAAAGGTAGAAACTGGTCCCACTGACCTCCAAAATCAATAGGGCATTCCCTCAACATATCCTCCAAAATTTGAACGGTCCGCTCGGACTTCCTGTCCATCTAAGGGTAAAATGCGATGCTCAACTCAACCGGAGAGCCCAACTCCTACTGAACAACTCTCCAAAAATATGAAAGTAAACTGAGTGCTGCAATAAGAGATAATAGAAACAAGTACACCATGCAGGTGGATAATCTCCCAGATGTAGATCATAGCCAACTGCTCCAAAGTGAATGTGAAGACTTGGTCAGTCTATCCATAATGACCCAGACTGTGTCAAATCCCCTCAATGCTCATGGTAAACCAACCACAAAACCCATAGTAATGTGCTCCTGTTTCTACTTCGGTATCTCAATCTTCTGAACCAAAATACCAGGCCTTTGATGCTCATACTTAAACTGCTGACAATTCAAAAACCTAGTAACATATCCGACAATGTCTTTCTTCATCCTCCACCATCAATAATATTGTTTCAAATCAAGGTACATTTTCCAGCACCCTAATAAATAGAATATCGTGAACTATGAGCCTCCTCAAGGATAAATTCTCTCAACCCATCCACATTAGGAATAAAAATTTGGCCCTAAAGCCGCAACACACCATCATCACAAATAATCACCTCCTTGGCACCACCTCACTAAAATGTGTCCTTAAGGTCAAGCAAATATGGATTGTCCTACTGACGAGCCTTTATGTGCTGAAACAAGGAAGACTGTGATATAACAAAAGCAAGGACTCTATTAGTCTCTGAAATTGGCAATCTCACAAACATGTTGGCCAAAGCCTGAACATCCATAGCCAAAGGCCTGAATATCCATAGCCAATGGCCTGAATATACATAGCCAAAGGCCTCTCCCCAACTTGAATAAAAGTAAGACTCCCCCTCTCCCTTACTGGAATAAAAGTAAGACTCCCCATACTCACCACTTTTCTACTCAAGGCGTCTGCAACTATATTAGCCTTCCCCTAGATAATAAAGAATAGAGATATCATAGTCCTTCAATAGCTTCAACCATCTCTGTTGCCTCAAGTTCAGATCCTTTTACGTGAATAGATGCTGAAGACTCCGATGATCCGTATACAGCTCACAAGACACTCTATATAAGTAATGCCTCCAAATCATGAGCGTGTCAACAATAGTTTCCAACTCTAAAACATGCATTGGGTAGTTCTTATCATGGGTCTTCAACTGGCACAACATGTAGGAAATGACCCTACCATCCTTCATCAACACATAACCAATGCCCACCTACAAAGAATCATAGTAGACAGTATACGATACCGATCCTGAAGGCAAAACCAACACTACAGTTGTAGTCAAAGTTGTCTTGAGCTTCTAAAAGCTCTTGTCACACTCATTCAACCTTCTGAATGGATAACCCTTCTTAGTCAACTTGGTCAATGGAGCTACAATAAATAAGAAACCCTCCAGCAAATGGTGATAGTAACCAACCAACCAACCTCGGGAAAATCCTAATATCAGTAGCGATAGAAGGTCTGGGCCAAATCTGAACTGCCTCAACCTTCATTGGGTCCACCTTTATCCCATTACTAGACACCACGTGGTCTAATAATGCGACTGAATCCAACCAAAACTCACACTTGGAGAACTTAGCATACAATTTCTTCTCCCTCAAAGTCCAAAGCACAGTCTTCAAATGTTGCTTGTTCTCCTCCCTACTATGTGAATACACCAAAATATCATCAATAAACACAATGAAGAGGGAGTCCAGATAAGGTTGAAACATGTTGTTTATAAAAAGAATGCAAGTTGATGGGGCACTGGTCAGCCCAGAATATATCACAAAATACTCATAATCCCCATAACGGATACTGAAGGCCATCTTAGGAATATTTGTAGACCTGATCTTCAACTGATGGTACCCATATCTTAAGTCAATCTTTTAGAACACCATAACAACCTGAATATGATCAAATAAATCATCAATACGCGACAGTGGATACTTGTTCTTGATGGTAACCTTGTTCAATTATCTATAGTCAATGAAACTTCTTATGGAATGGTCTTTCTTCTTCACAAATAGAACAGACGTACCCCAACGTAACATACTTGGTCTGATCAAACCTTTATCTTTGAAGGAATCACTTGGCCTGATGAACCATTTTATAGCTACTCCTACAACAATTCCTTCAATTCTGTTGGAGCCATGTGATATGGTGAAATAGATATAGGCTGAGTACCCGGTGCTAAATCAATACCAAAATCATTATCCATGTTACATAGCATGCCCGGTAGGTCTGCAAGGAACATATCTAGAAACCTTCTCACCACGGGGACTGAATCAAATGTGGGAGTATCAGCACATACATCTCTAACAAAAGCTAAGTATGACAAGCACCCATTCTCAACCATCTGCTGAGCCTTTAGAAAAGAATCCACCCTATTAGGAAAATTACCCAAGGAACCTCTTTGTTCCAACCTCAGCAACCCTGGTATAGAAAATATCACGGTCTTAGCATAACAATCAAGAATAGTGTGATATAGATATAACCAGTCCATACCCAAAATCACATCAAAATCTACCATATTAAGAAATAGAAGATCAGCCCTTGTCACGTAACCTCTGATAGTGATCAAACAAGAATGATAGACACAGTCCACCCTAATAGAATCCCTTACGGGTATTGACATATAAGTAGGAGTATCTAGAGAATCACGAGACATATGAAAATAGGAAAGAATTAGGATGACATATTTGATGTGTCTCTATGACAGACCGGAACAATACTTGAAATGACTGCATCTGATGTAATTGCCTTAGTCCTACAGGGGAAAGCATAACAACGGGACTAGCCTCCCCCTCTAGGATGACCTCTACCCCCCTAGGCCCCACCTCTAGCTAGTTGTGCAAGTGTTATAGCATCTGGAGCCGAAATCATAGCCTGATTACCCTGCTGAAGTCCATACATCCGAATTCTGGGACAATCTCTCCCCATGTGTCGACTGTCACCGCACTCAAAAAGCCTCTCTGAGGGCATGGATGTTGGTACTAACCCTTCCTTAGACGATTGGAATTACCGATGTAGGAACCCCATGCAAAAAGGTGCATGAAAACAAAAGTTATCCGGAAAAAGAGCTCTAAAATTCATGACTAGCTGGAGCACCATGGGAAACCTGAAGTGCGGAATAAACTGATCGACTGATATGACCTCTACCATGACGGACCTTCCCCCTAGAATAGGAGCCACTAAATCCTCCAAAACCATGAGGCTTCTTAGCCTCTATAACCTTTCTCTCCTACTCGTGGCTACGCTCTAACCTCCTTGTAATATCCAAAACCTGATGAAATGTAGTCTCCAGCTCTCATGCCATCCAAAATTTGAAGCTATAGGTGATCTCCACAATACATCTACGGGCTCTCTCTCTCTTACTTAAAACCAAGGAATTTTCTTGATGAGATAACTCTATAAACCTCATGGCATACCCTAACATCGTCATACCCCCTAGCATAATTGCTCAAACTCACTGCGTAACTCGTCCCTGTGAGTCTGTGGAGTAAACTCCCTCAAGAAAAGATCGAAGAACTGGTACATTGTAAGTGTTGCTTCTCCACCTGGCTTACTCATATCATAAGTTTGCCACCATCTATATGTCGGCCCCTTCAACTGAAAAGTAATAAGGTCGGCGTCGCTCGACTCTACCAAACCCAAGGTACGTAGAATGCGATGACACTAATCCAAGAAACCATGTGCCTCCAAAGAGACCCCTCCACTAAACTGGGGAGAACAAAATTTTTGAAACCTCTCCAATCTCTTCTTCCCCTCAGCCGACATAACTGGCCTACCTCGGGTAGAACTACATCTACTAGTTCTATTGGTCCAACACCTGGTGTCGGATAAGCATGAGCCAACCACCCTAGTGTGTAAGCGATAGGAGTCTGAGCTCCTTTCCCAGCCTGTGAAGTAGCTGGTGCGACCGGAATCAACCATGCTTGGGAAAAACTCCAAAATATACTCATAAAGTGTACCAAAGTCTACTAGAGCTTTGGTGTAGTAACAGGCCCCTCAGGTACCCAAGTAGGTCTCACCGGCTCAACGTGATCAGGCTCTTGCTCCTTAATTGGAGCAACAAGTAGATCAACTATTGTTGCTCTAGCAAGTGCTCTACCTGCGGCACGTGCCCCACCTCAACCTCTACCTTAGACCCGCCCTCTCGCGCCGCTAATCGGGGTATTGTTGCCTGCTCAGCTGATCCGGAAGAACGTGTCCTCACCATCTGTGAGAGAATAAAAGAGTAAAGTTTCAATCTTTGGAATAACAAATCAGCACGATAAAGAATGAAAGAAGGTGATGTTACCTAATAGTTCAGTAGCCTCTTGTAGAGAAGCACAGACGTCTTTGTATCGATCTCTAAGACTCTACTGAACTTGCTCATGACTCGTAATACATATGAACCTAGAGCGGTAATACCAACTTGTCACAAACCAAACACCATCATAGGGGTCGTAATGGTACCTAATCTCTAGGACTACGTAAATCAATAAAATATGATATAATAAGACAAAATTTAATATAAAAGTAAAAATAGAAATAACACAAGCCAAAATGACAATGCTCAATACTTCTCCGCATAACTAGGTAGTACAAAGACATGAGCTCTAACTAAATACATAAAAATGTCTAAAAATACAATGTTGTTCGAATATTAGAAAATAACAGTATCAATATAAGGATGGGACTTCAAAGGACTGCGACGCTCATGCAGCTCTACCTTGAATCCTCGCGGTCAATGAATGCTCTTACTCCTTAGGTCCACTGCCTCCAACACATGAATCTGCAAAAAAAGATACAGAAGTATAGTATGAGTACTCCACAATCGGTACCTAATAAGTATTAAGTCTAAGCTCAGTAAAGTGGTGATGAAGTTCAAGTTATATGATACTCACTAGTCAAACAGCAT